GCAGCAGTCAGGCAAGGAAGAGCATGCGCAAGGCGAAGCGGAGTACAAAGCCGCTCAAGTGAAGGGGTATGCGGAAGGAACTGCGGACAGGTTGGCCGGGAAGAAGGATGCCGTTGTAGGCGCAGTGACTGGTGATCGCCAGCAGCAGGCGTCAGGTACGCATTCTGCCAACTGTCGGCGGGCGCTGTACCAACCATAATCGCAGGAAACATCCGTCACGACAAGGGTCAGGCGCAGCAAGACATCAACTCATAGGCCCAGTCATGCGGCTGCGACAACCTTACATTGTACCTGCAGAGAATGAAGTGACTTTAGTTGACCATACACGAATTAATAACGTGAACGTACAACAGCGGCTCAGAATTTGGCAAGCAAATATGTTCTGAGATAAGACCTACGACAGCACAATGCGGTGGTAATCAGCTGCTGACACAACCGCGAGTCGTGGCGACCGACATACCTCATCAATTTTAGCAGTCACTTCGTCGTACAGGTGGGTGTACACCGCCTGAATGGACAACTGATCCTCTGGACTTGAGAGCCACTGAACAGCAGAAGCATTCGGTGACCCTCGAAGAATATCGAGCGTATCAAGCAATGGACCGGATGGTGGGCTCAGCATGGCTATGCCGCTGATGATCACCCTCGCGTACATTGTACAGTGCAAGCACACGTTGTCGGCCACTTGATTTTGTACGACGGGTCTGATCCCATAACACCAAGTGCTGGCAGTTCTGCACGAAGACGACCGTGTGGGAACAAGGGGCCGTCCGGGTGCTACACCGCCGTTACACACGTAAGATTGAAACAGTGTCCCCACTTCCGAAGCGGCATTCCAGCAGGACCGATGATACAAGCATGCATTACGATAGAATGATGCCGGTGTGACCTCCAGATAAGCAGTGTAGTAATCCTGGATAGTGGTCTTGCTGAGAAGTAACCGTGCTGCCTTTCGCGCCTCCTCGCGATCTTCACACCTCGATGCCAGCAGTTACGCCCGCAAAGGGTCCTGTCCCATCAGTGTGGACCATTGACCACGTAGTACCTCTAGAGCATCACGCATATCGTACTTGCTCAGGGCATGGCGAATCTTGGGCACCAGAAAGAGCTTCTGGATGTCAATATTGGTGTCAAATTGATCGGAATAGCACAGACTGAGCAAGACTTGTAGCGTCTCCCCGTTCTCGTCGAATGATAAGACGGAGGAGGCACCCGCCTCTTCGCTCGCCGGATCAGCAGATGTTGGCATCCCAACAATCAACGGGGCAAGGCGAGCATGAGCAAAGCCTTGTGAGCAGGAAACTCACGTCCATCTGACGACCGGCAGACAACATCCGCTAAGGAGCGAAAATGAGGGCGAAGGGAAGCAGGAAGCGAAGGCTCGATAGCCGATGAAGACGGGGTCTCCACTAGTGGTGCTGGTCCATGAGGAATCGATGGTATCTCCGGATCGCAGAACTTGAAGGCCCCTTCGACAACACCACCAAGCCGGCGGTACTGCAGAAGACGGTAGTATGCCCCCGAACTGATGTCTCGCATCTCCTCGGGAAAGACGTCAAGCACCACGATCGCCTGGCGACATATCTCAGCGGCAGCGAGGCGCGCCTCTACTTCGAGTCAGTTACGGATTGCGACAGCCCACACACGGACAGGTTCCTGCGCTACGAACCCGTGGAGCTTGGTGCTCGTCAGCACGGTGGCCTTGGCCATGTCGTACTTCAACGATGCTGCCAAAACGTGTGCGAGGTTTTTGAAGTCGTCCAGTGAAGGATACTCCTGGGGATAGATGATGCGGAGGAGGGTGTCCAAGGTCGCGCTGTCCTCGGAGACGGGGACAACTCGACATCCGTCTCGGATTTCGTCGCCGTCTGCTTGAGCCCCGTCAGACGCGCTGGGCAGCGACTGGCCGACCTCGAGCATGGAGGCGAAGAACGGGGATGCGAGGCGAAGGATGGCAGGCACGACGCAAAAGTCGATGCGGTCGCTCGAGCGCAGAATGAGGTCGCCATCTAGAGTGTTGTCGAAAGGTGATGACGCGTAAGGTGGTAGTGTTGGCGCCGCCATATTGGTGATGATTGGCGGTAGAGGATGGAAGTCAGAGGGGTGGTACGACGAGGAAGGGGAAACTGGCCTCGAACAGGAAGAGGTATAAGTAGTGAGCCGCATGGTCAACACGATGTATGATAGCACTCACGGCACTGGGTCAGCTAGCGCTGTTCGCTACGGGCGGACCATGTATGCGTCGACGAAGTGTGCATCCAGACACTCAACCTTATTTCCCTGACATCACGAGCCGTGCCGATTGGTTTGTGTGCAAGAACAAGCAGTATGAAGCCGCGAGGTCCCGCATATGACTTCGGGGAGCAGGTGACTCGTCAGGAAGTAACTGATTACACGATCATCACATAAGTAGTGAGGGGTGTCGGCACAGACAGAAAGCAATGCATTTCAAAGTTTGGTTGTTTCCATAGGTAGGATATACATTTTCGAAACCCATGAGGCGCGATATCGAAAGCTAGTAATAGGGTGCAAGCATCGTATGTTCAATTAGTGACGAAACATCACCAAGATGTACTAACTCACTATACTTGGTTCTAGTGGAATAAACTCCATCGCGCTGTTCTCAGGCGTTAGATGAGCCCAGTAATCTTCTTCCCTTTTTTCCTTTTTTTTTCTTAAAGAGCGTTGCGCGTGGGCGCTGTTGCCGTATCGACTTGCAACGATGATGTAGTCCGACATTGCCTGTGACGTAACAGGAAATGTGAGTGACCTAGTACCAAGACTCGAGAAGAAAATGCGCACCATTTCCACTTTCTTGGAAATCATGTCGTAAAGCGCCTTGTACAGCGTCTGAAGAGCCGGCCGATCCTGGTCAAGCACTGCCAAGCACTGTAGGTCAGGGGCCTTCGGTGGCCCTTTGAGTGACTCGAGCGTCGTGAAAAGCTCTTTCGAGGGTGAATCGAGTCGGTGTATAGTGTTGGCGATGGTTTTTCCCAAGTGCAAACAGACAGTGCACACGTTGCGCCGGTTGGGATTGCTGGGATTGCTCACCAGGTCCCGATATCCGCCCGTCGCTTGGACACCGCGGCAGTAGTAACCGTTGTTGTATGTATCGCATAAGGCGGACTTCATCGTCGCGGCAGCGTTGAAATTGTTGTCTTCAGGGTTCGAGTAGAATGTCTGAGCTGTACTAGCAGCCGCAGCCTTGCACGCACGGTGATAGAGCAGTGCGTCTCGGTAAGTAGACACTGGAGAGCACTCCAGAAACGGCACATAATAATCCTCCATGGCTCTATCAAGAAGGCGTCGAGCCGCCTGCTGCGCCCCTTCTGCGGCCCTGTGATTCGCCGCAAGGAGGTACGCACTCAGTGGGTCTTCGACCGTGAACTGCAACCATCGGGTTTCTGATAGCTTGAACGCATCGTTCATCTCGTATTTTTCCACCGTCTCCAGGACCTCCTGCAGTGCCAGAAAATGCGCTTCATATCCATCGGTGATGGGGTACGCAAGGGCTACAAGAGCTCCCACTGTCGCGCCATCCTCCTCGAAGGTTAATATCGGATCGTTGGCTCGCCCTGTAGATGTGCCTTCGGCGGCGAAATCACCGGATGGCAGGGTTGGAAGGCTCGTGAGCATCACGGCCATGACGGGAGATGCGTATGCGAGAATCGCCTTATGCGCAGGGAATTCCTTGCCGTCCGATGACTGGCATACAACATCCGTCGGCAGACGAGGATGATTACCGCCCGGTAGGTGAATGCTCAATGACGCTGTACCGGCTTTATGATTGTTGAATGAGGGAGGCTTCGAGGAAGAAGGGTAACAGAATACAAAGTCTGATTCGACCTTGCCGTCCAAGCGCAAGTACTGCAAGAGACGATAGTAGGCTCCAGCATTGACTGCCTGCATCTCTGATGGGAAGTCGTCTAGCACCGCGGCCTTTTCACGTAGCAGCTCGTCCGCAGCCGCCCGTGCTTCGGGCTCAAGCCCATGGCGCACAGCGATCGCCCAGACACGGGAAGCTTCTTTCGACGTGAAAGAGAGCAGTTTGGCCCCTGTCAGAGCGATCGCCTCCTCCATCTCATACTTCAGGGCTGCCGCCATGACGGAGTTGACTTTTGGGAGGTCGCCGAGGATGGGGTCCTTCCGCGGATATATGATGCGGAGAAGGCTGTCTAGCGTGTCCCCGTCCTCTTGCACAGGAACGACGCGACATCCGTCTCGAACTTCATCCCCATTCTCGTGAGCTTCGCCAGACGCACCGGACGTCGTCTGGCCAACCTCGAACATGGATGCAAAGAATGGGGATGCGATGCGCAGAATGAAGCGCGATACGCGGAAATCGATGTTGTCGCTGGTACGCAGAATGAGATCGGCATCATCGAACGGTGCCGATGCATAGCGAGGTGGGTCTGGGGGGGACGGGAGTATCGTGGTCATGATTGTAATGCTTGGTAGGCACTCGGAAGTTGGGGACAGGAGAGGATAACGGGGACAGGAAGACCGCGGCGACAAAACGCACCATGCACGCTTCCCGCAAGCAAGGCCTCTCTAATCCTCGTGGTCCAGATAAGAGTGAGCCCGTGCTTGTATAATGCGCGAAGACAAGCTTGCATGGCTTCTCTGGCCTGCAGGCATAAGGCTAGACTACATGTGTCAACGCACGCTCGAGCAGATACTATATCAGACGACTTGCCTCCTCCGCCGGCCGTGCAATATGAACGTGTGCTTGGGTATCCGAGGCTATAGAACAGAGTGATACAGTTGCATCGGTCATATGCGCAAGGCGGCGTCTCTGCAAGCGAATGTGAGCAGTCCAGTATTTTATGCGTCGGAACGTACCATGTAGACTCATCAGGCAAGGACACCGAAGGCGCGTCCGCTTGGGCGCCGAGCTGTCCCGCATTGTCGATACTTTTTTTGGTGGAGCGTTGCGCCTGGCAGTTGACTCAGAGTTCAAACCCCCGGATGATATTCATTCATGTACATGCCCATTCATCGGCTTGATGGTCTAGAGGTATGATTCCTGCTTTGGGACATCATGTGACGCGGGATGTTACATGACCACATGCAGGAGGCCCCGGGTTCGATCCCCGGTCAAGCCCTTTTTGCTGTTTCTCTCTCGCTTCCTGTTGTATAAGTTCACTGCATGCACCCAGGAAGATTTATGAGCTTGTAAACATTTTTCCATGTTGGTTTGCTGTTTGTGTCGCCAGTTACTGAGAAGTGCAATCCAATGATCATAGACACGATCTCGACATGCAATCCATGTTCCCACATGCGGGATTTACCAACGTGCTGTGATCAACATGTTCTCGTACATCTCCTTAATGCAAAGCTTTATGCTTCAAGCATCTCACTGTGCCAATTGTTACAGTGACTGACAGAGCTTACCACGAAGACATATACAACTTGATCACCCTCACCATATCCCTGTAGTATGTACGCCCGCCCACGGCCTGCCCTCATCTGCTGTTGCCCAATGATTGTATACATAGATCTCTGCATAGAGTCCGCAAACAGGCCTGGAGTCGATATCTTGGGTCACCAAGTCACTGTTGTGCCTATGTCATGTGACCGTCTCATTTAAAGGCATTCCAATGCCACAAGCGCTGAGCACTGAGATGCTAACCATTGGCCTCAAAATACACACATATGTAAGATTCAGCATGCATGTTTGAGTGGCCTCATGTGTCGTTCTGATCCATTATGTCTATGGGACAATGATACAACTAGCTGGCTTAACTGTCGGGTGCTCCGAAACTGCAATATATCATGGGCATCTGTACACAACAGAGGATCCAAGGGCATAACGTTACGGCCATACATTAATGATACACAAAGTTGCTGGAAAAGTGGGATGGACACAGACAAGTGAGAGGATTGCACCTCAACAGCCACAGAGTGATACTGATGAAAGGGGACAATTCATGGAGACAAAGAAAGCTAGCATTCCAAGGGAAGCGGGGAATTATCAAGTGGACTGAGCAGAGACACAGATAGTGGCAGCACAGACCCAGAATGAGGACCGAGATCAAAGGTGGAGACCACAGATGACAGCGACAACAGAGACAGCAGAGACGTAGACAGCAAAAGCGAGGCGGGGACACCGAGGGTGAAGGGAAGAGTGACCAATGTTGAGAAAGTGAAAGCCCAGCAATACCAGGTAGAGCGAGAGGGAATTGAATCCGTGAGCAAGTACACGAGGTGATGATGAAGATGCAAGTCAATCTTCTAGAGAGAGCAGGCCTTGGATTCAGAGGCTGGAACGCAGGGAGTGAGGACAAGGGCGGCCGGCGGTGCCAAAGTGGATGTGGATGCGACCCAATCCCCCTCGAAAGGCACAAGCAACTCCAGCGTGGTAGGAACACTAGGGAGTTCGGGGATTGACAGCATGGACTCCAGTATTGTTGGTAGATCTGGGAGAACATGGTCGTGCCTCTTTGCTGCCTCGACCGCACAATAATAGTACTTCCATGCTGCGCACAAGTTCCTAGGCGACGTCGCGGCATCTACACGAAGCTGGGACACGGTGGCGGCATAGTTTAATTGGAACTGGGATGCTGCTTGCGCGATCTGCCAGTTGGCGATGTGGGTCTGACGCGCGAAATTCTCCACTGCCAAGGCCTGATATAGATCAGAGGTTGTCGTGTTGACTGAAGTTACATACGGCTTACCTGGGCGAACGTATCAGGAGAGGCCCGTGCGAGGGACACTTTAGCAGCTTTAGCTTGCGCCTTCGCAGTTTTGGGCGGGGGCGATCCGACGTGTCGTTCTCGGAAGGGTCTGCGATGTACTGCTCGACAGCGACAACATATGAGAGACAGTAGACATGACAAGCATATATTGACTGACCATGCCCTCCTTCGCTTTCTCCTCCGCCGGAGATATTTTTGCTTTCTTGGCGGAGTTTGATGGGAGTTGACACGCCTCTGTGATTGTATGCACATGTAATTATCCAGACTTGTGAAACCGTACTATGCCTACCCTTATCGCGTGTGTACGCGCCAATCCCATGGGAGGCTATGATATGGTGAGGCTATATGCGCATGTAGTAGGGATGGACAGGGCGTACAGTGGAATTCGACGCATCCTCGGGCTCAATGACACGCTTCTGTGATTGTATGCCCATGTAAGCATCTAGTACTGCGAAAGTATACCATGCTCACCCGTTTTGCTTGAGGATGCGCCAATTCCATGGGAGGCTATGATGTGTCGAGGCTATGTGCGCATGCAGTAGGAATGGACAGTGCGTACCGTGAAAATCAATGCATCCTCGGACTCCAGTCTGTGCAGGGTGCCCGAAGTGAAGGGAACGCTCAGTAGTAGCATGTACCGCGTCCATAGCGGCTTGACCGCCTGCCTTGTATCTGTTTGTCCATGCGTATTGGGATGTCTTCTCGTCAGGAGGGAGGGTATATGCGGGCGTGCGGTCGAAGGGTGTATGCGCGCTGGAAGATGATGGTTCGAGACAGGAAGATCTGCCGCCGTCAGCACATGGGGAATGTAGGCACTGACAAGTGTAGGTGACGCGCGGTGGCAACGGTGACGTACGGCGGTGACATTTCGGCTTTGCTCGAGCGACTTGGAGCTTCAAATTCCTTCGTTTGCGCTTTCAATGTTCTTCAGTCACAACAAGCCCAACGAAGTGTATCAAGCGGTTTGTATATGTCATCGTAGTTCAAATATCCTCTCAACCATAACTTGATGTACTTCTAGAACTCGTTGATCGCAATGCGTTCGAGAGTAATGCGCGATGTATGTCCGTTCATTTTGGGATCCAATTCCTACTATATGACAACAGAGAATTACCAAACTGACATTGCAAGATGGTTTCCAATCTTCCGGGCCGTGGGGGTGGGTACCATCGCTTACAATTTACCCGCACCTCCCACACCCCAACCCTTCTCACCTTCGCCGAATGTATCTGCGAAAGCGCCCCCAATCTCACCGAGCATATCCTGCGTGACGACGCCCCTGCCCATCTTCAAGAAGGCACGCCGTGACGCCGCGCGCGTCACTATAGACCCACCTATAGCCGCGAGAAGCGGTATGCGCGAGAGCGGCAGGGACTTGTCGCTAAGGGGGCAAATCAAGTTAAGCAGGGCAATGTAGGGGAACAACATACCCAAATGCACCCGTCTCGTAGCACTTTCCCCAGGCGAGCAGCGTGCCAACAGTCCCGCTGAGGATGTCGCCCTGACCGCCGCACCGCTTGAGCCCACCAGGCGTATCGACGACGATCTGCTCCTCTGTCGACTGGCTCCCTGAAAGCTGAAGCACGGACGTTAGTGGCGGTCAGAAGATGTGATGGGCAAGCTCACCGTGCTGCCTGTGTCGGTCGCGATGATATCTTCCTTGTTCTTTTGGAGGATCGTAACGCCTCCGAGCACGCGTGAGATCTGCATGGCATGTTCATCTGGTGGGCTCTTGGGGTCAATCCCCTGTGATAATCTATATGGATGATCATCGCGCGGAGAGCAAACGCGTATACGTACGGCCTGGTCACTCAACCTCTTGAATTCCATGACGTTTGGCGTGAGGACGGCTTTGCGGTAGCCCTTAACAAGACTAAGGTCTTGACCGACCATCCATAGCGCATCCGCGTCCAGCACGACGTACATGTCCTATCGCCCAGCAAGTACGTCAACCGGTGTTGAACGTATGATAAGCGTGAACACCACTCACCTGCTCTTTGGCGATGTTCAGAGCTAGCTTGGCAAAGCTTTGCATATAGTCTTCTCTCCCCAGCCCGGGACCGATGACAAGTACATGCAGACGCTCCAAAAGCGAGGATAGCGCAGGCTTCACGTCGGCGGGCGATCTGCGGTGCCCGTTGGTCCCCGACGACGGTGCTGATGAACATTGTTGCTACCGGCGCGGGCGAGTACTGATACTCACTGGTCCTCGCGGAGTATAGGATGAACGATGAGGTCGGGTGAGTACGACTTGATCGCGCTAGCGGCGGTCGGAGAGCAGATGACGTGCGAGAGGTCGGCGCCCACGCGAAGTGCTGAGATGGATGCGAAGAACGGTGCGCCTGTGTAACTGTAACATCGTCTGAGTGATAACAGTTGGGATGAACCGGTATGCAAGACGTACTCAAGTGCACCACCCAACACGCCGACCCGACCGGATTGGCCTTTGTGGAGAGAACCATTGAGAGGCGGGATGATTTGTCGAATCTCATTCAAAAGCTGGCGAGGAACAGACATTCTGGGATGTCCTACGGATGGTGTATCAGGAAGAATCGCGTGAATATATGAATTCCGAAGTGAAAGTCGCCAAGATGAGCTTCAAGTTGTAAGTCTAAAGTTACGGTGAAAGTCGCAACGATCGGGCGTGGACACGGAACCAGTGACGTCGTCAGGAACCTGTCGCGGGGTTAGGGCCAATCATCGGGCCATCCAATGTGACGCACTGTGACTCGGCGTTACCCCGAGGACTTATCGCGTTACTCCGGTGGCTGCGTAGCGCTGAGGCAAGGGATGAGCGCAGCGGTGTACGGTGCGATGTAGGGAGTCCGGTGAGCGTAGGATACACAATGGCATAGTATGCAGATTAAGGTACTTCGTAGAGTATGGAAGATACAGGTCTGGTCTAATATGTACATAAGAATAAAGACATTGACACTGTTAAGTGAGAATCAGCCTCGGGCTTTGGTGGCGGCGGCCTCGAGATGATCCTCCATTAGTGAGTTGGGTAGTGTACGGTGACTACAATATTTCTTTGCAGCCCAGGCTGCCTGTGCGCCATTCAGTCCCTTTGCATATGCGTCCATGAAGCGACGCGAGCGTGTTGCGTAACTGCACGATAAGAGATAAACATCTCGATCAATGTGTGAGTCATGTTAGCACAGACGATGCTATGCCAGTTCTCGGGTACCATGCTACAGGAATGCGAACAAATGGATTGCGATGGTGCACTACTATTGCTCGGAGCAGTCTGTTCCCGGTGAGGTTATGAGTCGAGGTCAGTCTCTTGGTCTATGTTGTCACAGGACGGATGAATTGACACACCATTTCGACATCTATCTCAGCTCCGGAGGCCTGCTTAGCCTTCTTGCGCGGTATCCCAAGGTTCTTGAAGCGCCAGCTACCCTTCC